GGGGGTGAGCAGACCCCAGTGCCAGAGACAGGGCTGAAGAGAGCTTAGTGCCAGGGGGCACCAAAAGAGAGACAGGGCTGTAGACAGCCCAGTGAGGACTGAAGGTCAAGCTAAATTAAGGCCTTGGAGGGACAACAAGTGAATGCCATCTGTGAGGCTTGGGGCATGATAAAGGGGTGGTTTTGGAGCCACGCATCTAGCCCTTAAGGCTGTGAGTCATCCATTTTGAAGTGGGATGCCAAAGGGTTGTAAAAACCCAAAGGGTTCAGTGGGGTCCAGCAAGAGTGTGTCCAGAACACAAACTCAAGGGTAGCCTCCTTATTTACTGAAATTACCAGTAAGATATGGCGGGTGAGAAAGAGGGTGCCTGTTGGGCAGGACTGGCACGGTCAAGGAGCCCTAGTGGTATCACGACTATCCCTGGGGACCCCATTCCGTGACACTTGACCTCACCTTCCTAAATGGGGTGGTTCTTCCCTTGTTCTACTGCAGCATGGTGCGGGCCTGGTGGGCTGCCTTCCATCTCTGTCCCCAGTCCAGGTGCCTGCAGTTCCTGCAGCTACTTCAGGAGCCCTTGGTTTACAACATGTCTCTGCAGCATGTTGTGCCAAGTCTGGCCTCTGCCAGCCTCATGACCACATTCATTGAGGTGCACGCCACCCATCTAGGGAACCTCCTGGACCCTGCTCAGTCAGACTGGCTAGCAGCTGAGGCCCTGGCTGCCTGGATGGCCCTGCAGTCCATCTGCACTGTGGGCCAGCTTCTGTGGGATGTTAGGGCCATCCTCCCAGCAGAGGCGGTGGCCACCCTGGAAGGCTACCTCCAGGCCAACCAGGAACTCCCCACCATGAGAGCCCCAGGCAATGCCTTCCTGCTGCTGCCAGTGGTGGCCAGTAGGCTGGCCGACCAGCCTGACATGCTGTTAAGGCTCCCTGTGATTTCTGGAAGCAACACGGGCTGCCACTTTGGCACAGTGCCCTGAAGGAGACTCTATGCATGGGTGGTGCACACCTGGCATGCCGAGGTGCTGGCTGGCTGCCCTGACACCATGTGGTGGCAGTGCCTGGCATTGCCTGGCACCCCAGAATGGTGCACACTGTACAAGGCACCCACCACCAAGAAGACCATTGACCTCCAGTGGAGATTGGTGCATGGCATCCTGGCTACTGGCACCGTCGTCCACCACCTGGATCCAGTGGCCTCGGCAGCCTGCCCTTTCTGCCTGGGGGTGGTGGAGGAGAACATTTCTCATGCCTTCCTTGATTGCCCCCAGCTGCAACCACTCTTTATCACCCTCAGGGTGCTGCTTTGGGCACTGGGCTGGGACTTTTCAGAGGACAGATACATCTGCTCTTTCCCATACTGGGTGGCTGAGTGGGGTGCAGTAAGCCTGGCCAACTTCCAGGTGGGCCAGGCTAAGATGGCCACATTGAAGAGCCACCAAAACTGACTCACCAGAACAGGGATGGATGATGCCCTGCAGCTTGAATTTGAGCACATGGTCGTCCAGCAAATGGTGCCCATCTTTAAGGAACACTGGGCTGTTGAGGGGATTCTATACCACGTTGAGGGGAGATGCCTGTTCCTTGTGCTGTGACGCCAACACCTTCTCAGGGCACAAGGGTGGGTCCAGTAAGCTGAGACCTTGGGCTTTGTCCATGTGGGCCAACTCTTGATGGTCCTGAGCCACCCCCCCCGGGCGTCCCTGCTGGCAGAATTGTATATATGCATATATTTCTTTGTCCGCTCTTTTTTTATTTTTGTCTAGAGTGTGCAGGCAGGACTTGCAGGCCATGAGCCCAAGCCTTGTCTTTGAGGCCCAGACCTTCAGGCCAACCTCTTGGGTCTTACTGCCCCCCCCCTTTGGCACCCTCCCCAAAATAAATGTTTTTTTAAAAAAGTTAAAAGTCTTTCTTTGTTTCTTTCTTTCTTCCCCCCTGTACATTTCTGCTGCCTGTGGCTGGATTGAGACTGATACTGGTGGTGTGTAGGTCAGGTTTAATGACTATTATATGTCTCTTTGAGCTAAACAGCTGTCATAAAAAATAGTAGGCTGGAAACTGTCAGCTACCCTGGATATGCATGTGCAGTATAATCTGATCTGTGAGCATTAAGTTCATGATTATCTGGGGACCTCAACTCTTTTTTTTAAATACAGTTTTCAATTTGCTTTCTCCAAAGAACTGTGCAAGGCTACACAGTGACTGAAGTAAATATCTAGTGACTAATACAATTTTGTGCATGAACAAAACCATAATTTGAGCCTCACATTTAACAGCAAAATAAAATAAAACAAAGCAAAGTCAGCCTGAAAATACTTTTTTTTCATTTTACCACTTAGAAGCTTTCTAAGGTCCTCTCTAGTTAAGTCTTGCTAGAATATGTACTGATTAATTTCAGTGTATATTGTATTGTATTGTTTTCCTCTCTTCCTTGTGGATCTTATCTTTTCTATTCTATCTGTGGCATATTTGTGAATCACACTTCTAAGAAAGGAGCAGATGTGAGATATAGGACCTGGTCACTAAGGAATGTATGGAAATTTTCTATCGTCAAGAATACTATTCTGCTTTGCTGTATCCAGCACCAGAGTACCTAAGTCATGATAGCTTTTATGCTTCCATTAGCATATAAGCTATCATGACTATCATCTGCCATACATTTTTATTTAAGATAGCTGGATTCTATACAAATAACGTCATTCTATTAGAGGTAATAGTTAGTAATTTATCTACTCTGAATACTTATACTAAGAATTAATTTGACTCATATAGTTTAACGGATGTTTCCTATTTTAGGGCTTGTTTGCTCAATGGCCATTGAATCATGCTGAAATCTGTCCCCATTTTATTTTTATTTTTTTCTGGCAGCATTATGTTAATTAGGTAGTGAGAATAATAAAAGGTCATTATGTCATGATTTCTTCACCACTATGAGCTGAAATGAGCTACTGTTAGTTATATGTGAACTTGCATTAGAAAGGCTCAGAGCCAGAACCAAATGGCCAATTTGGATATAGGCTGAAACCCACTCTAGAGTTTAGAGAGAGAAGGAACAGCTTACAATATTATTTAAATTGTATCCATCACAAATATAAACTATCAAAAACACCTTTTAAATGAGAAACACTACTTTAATGAGAAAATATAAGAAATACAAGTATGAATAAATCAGTATTTTCATCACTGATCAGAGCAATATGAAATTATTAAATTATAACACATAACATTAAGATTTCAGTTCATTTTAAAATTATTTAAAATAATAGTTAACTAAAGGACCAGCAAATTATTATAAACAAGTCTTTTGCTAACAGTCTTTGTCAATTGTTGTTCATAGTTTGGAACATCTACAGCTGCTTGTGTATTGAATTATCTCTAAGTTCTTCTTCACCCATTACAGCAAACAATTGACCAGGTCAACTTCAATACTCTGGAGTACGTATTTCCATTGATGTATGGGAGAATGAAAGGGAGGATAAGTTATTAATAATAACAACATCATCATAATAATAATAATAATAATAATAATGTGTCACAGTTTAACCTTCATCCAAAAAGTTCAAAACACTCAAACTTTGAACTTTTCATTACAATTTCTCTGTAGGGGAATCATTTTATCCATCACTCTAGGCAGCCACTACTGAGTTCATGGCAGCAGCCTTTAAGAAGGTGTGGTGACACTATAGGATCCTTGAGGAAAGAAACTGAAAGATGTGTTATGTAGCTCAAATACATGGAAAAAATACTTTGTGGCAAAATACCCCTGTGTGGGAGAAACATTTCCAAGTGGTCATGAAAGCAGGTGCGGGATCTGTTTCTTCCTGGATCTTCTGAAGTCAGGACGAGGTGCCAAGAGAAGAGCATTTAAAAGAAAAATGTCACATTCATTATACTTAGGGATATAAATTGATGCTAGTGACAGGGTTTGGTGCTAGAGTGTCAAATGAGACATTCAAAGTACCACATGCCACTTATAAAATATATGACTGGGATCAAAGGTAACATTAAAATCATAAAACTTAAAGTGATGATTTATGCAATTGTCAAATACATAAAGGATACAAATCAAATATCTGCCTTACTAGTGCAATCAAAATATAAACATGATCATTACAGAACATAGATCCTATCTGCAATCCTGGGTTACATTGCAGAATAGGTGATACACATTATTGTACCTCAGTTATGTTTGTTTTCCTCCATACAAATCCCTACAGACTTGTGAATCTGGCTGCTGGCTTTACCTCTGATGTAAAAGTGACACTTGAATACCCAGAAAAGGACAGGGTGGGATATAGAACTCTGGGTTAGAATCCTAGGTGCCTTACACATTTCAGAGAGAGACCCAACCATCACAAAATGGGATCACACCAACCAAAAGGCTAAGCAGAAGATGCCAGGAGCTAGCCAATAGAAAATATGGATGGTCTGAAGCCCTGTCTCTATCTGGGGATTAGGCACTTAACTCAGGAAGAGAAGAAGCTCATCCACTATGACTTATATGAATCTAGGTACAGGTTCAGGTCTCTTTTCTGCTTAAGGGGAATCAAATCTTCATGATCAACCTCCCAGGAGTCATAAACCCCAGGAGATCTCAATGATGGACAATTTTTTTTCAGTTGGAGGGCCATTTAATGAGCTTTGGTGAGCTGTCAAGGGTCACGCATAAAATCTTACAGAAGATATCATTTTTAAAACTTATAGGTAAAAAACAAATCATATATTAAAAAACAATTACTATAACATTTTAATTTTATTTCAAAAATGTTTTTTCTTGATTTATGTTTTTAGAGTAGTGTATATAAAGGTGATTCATTGATATAAAATGATATTTAGGGGTTTGCTTTTAGGAATTAGCTGTGTGCATTAGGACCAGGGGCTGTGATGGGGGGGAGAGGCAGGGAGGGGTACAGAGAATACATGCAGCAGAGCTCACTTGGGCAGTGCAGGTGAAGTTCCCCGCCCTTCCACCCCTCAGCTTCTCCTGTGGTGCTTCATATGGGGCTGAGCTACAATCACTTTCATTGCCGCGTGAGGAGACCACCCTCCGCCACCGCCTCCACTGCCACTAATGGCCACCAGCAACTCTACTGGAGCCACCCCAGGAAGTTCAGGCAAGGCTCGTGCTCCTGCCGTGTGCGCTCCAACCGGCACAGCCTCATCTGCAAGTATGGGCTCAACATGTGTCGGCAGTGCTTCCACCAGTACACCAAGGACATCGGCTTCATCAAGCTGGACTAAAGGCTGTCGGCAGGATGCCGTTTTGCTGACCCAGCCACAGCGCCACATCCTGATCACCAAGACTTCGCTGTGATATTTTCTATGTCAAATAAACAGGCCTGGCCCTGGCCAAAAAAAAAAATTGATTTTGTTTTGTTACAGGCTAGTTGACCTCCTCCGGCAGGCTTTAAACTAAGTTCATCGGGGGATGGGGATCCACAGGAGCAAGAGAAAACTCAACCAGGTGTAGGACCTGCCCAGGTAAGAGCTCAGGTATATACCAAGGGAACAGTTGTCTCTCAGGAAGGGGGGGTGCTCAAGGCTCTCTCAGGGGGATTAAGTTGTCTCTTTACTAATGCAAGAAGCATGGGGAACAAGCAGGAGGAGCTTGCTCTCCTGCTTGCAAGTAGTAAAATCAACCTGGTTGGCCTAGTGGAGACATGGTGGGATGAAACATTTGACTGGGCAGTAGACATAGAGGGCTATAGGTTGTTTAGAAGAGATAGGAAGGGAAAAAAAGGTGGTGGGGGGGAGCACTCTATGTTAGGGAACAGTATACCAGTTCTACCTTCCAAATGGGACCAGAGGAAGGCTTAACTGAGCCCCTGTGGGTCAAACTTCAAGGAGGGCAGGGGGAGAGGGATCTGGTGGTAGGGGTTTACTACAGGCCACCACATCAGGAGGAAAAGCTGGATCTGGAATTTTCCAGGCAGCTTGGGGAGGCTGTGCGTGCAAGGGATGTTGTGGTCATGGGTGATATGAACTACCCTGACATCAACTAGGAGGAGCAGCTGGCCAGGTCTAGCCACTCACGAAGGTTCCTGAAGTGCATACAGGACCTACAGCTTGTGCAGGTGGTACTCTTTCCCACTAGGGGAAATGCCATACTGGATCTGGTGTTAGCCTCTGGGTACAACCTGGTGGGGGAGGTGCTAGTACAACGGAGGGTAGGGGACAGTGATCATGAAATGATCCAGTTTGCTATTCAGAGAAAGGTGGGGAGGGTAACCAAGACAGCGCAAATGCTTGACTTTAGGAAAGCCAACTTCGATGTGCTCAGGGCAGTAGTCAGGGAGGCACTTGAAGCCCAGGGAGTAGCTAGTATGGGGGTCCAGGAAAGGTGGTCC